ATCCTCCAGAGGCCACTGGACAGTCAGGCTTGGGCCCGCAGTGACGAAACTTGTTGGGCCTCACGGGATGGGGTGGAGCCGGGCCTGTCCTCCCCACCCCAATGAGACCCCAAGTTATTGCCCACGAACGGCCTCTCTGGCTCCTGATCAAGCTGCTCAACGGCCATGATCCCAGAGACTCAGGAGCAAACCTCGAAACCCAGTGGCTTTTGGCAGAAATCCCTCCAGATTTAAGTGTTAAAATTTCGGAATTTCAAAACCACATGGTCCTACTGCAGCCACGTGACATCATATGTTATTCATAACCAGCAATAGAACACAAATTGTCTATTGTTGCCTTTTCAGCAGATCTGAGTGTTGGGGTAAAATCTCAAATAATAATGGTGGGTCTGGTGTCGAAATATTGAATGTGATCAAAGTAGAGAGAGAGTAATGTGGAAATCATCTGCCCCACAGGTAGGGGGAAGGTGTGGGATGGAGGTGTACTGGGGTTTTTGGTGGTGGAGAATGGGCACTGGTGAAGGTACGGGTGTTTCATTGTATGACCGAGACTTAGACCCAAAAGCTTTATAACTGCTCTCACGGTGATTCAATAAATAAAATTATAAAAAATGGAAAAAATCAGATGGGCTGGAAACGTAATGAGGTTTAAAGATGACGGCTGGACTAGAGCCATTACTGACTGGATTCCACGGGACGTCAAAAGATCGCGTGGATGCCCACCTACGGGATGGTCAGACTTCTTCGTCAAGACCATGAATGATCGGTTTGAGGCTCTGCATATTCCTAGAACGAGCAGATGCTACTGGGCTATGCTAGCATGCAACAGGGATGAATGGAGACACTACTGGCACCCGCTCGAGTAAATCGATGAGTAACGGGGGATCAAGTGATCAAGTGATCAAGAATAATGATCAGGGCCAGAGCGATAGTACAGCGCAGGTAGGAGGCTTGCCTTGCACGCAGCGGACTCAGGTTCTATCCCCCACATGGTCCCGTCTTCTTCCAGAGCAGATTCCAGAGTCCAGAGCCAGGACTAAGTCCTGAGCACGGTCAGGTGTGGGTCCCCAAACAACAAACAGAAATCACAATCAGCTGTCCTTGTTTTCTACATCAACCATTTATCAATATGAAGAAATCTCTTTTCCGGGTCGGAACGATAGCACAAGTAGAGCCTTGCGTGTGGCCGACCCGGGTTCGATTCCCGGCATCCCATATGGGCCCCAGAGCACTGCCGGGAGTAATTCCTGAGTGCAGAGCCAGGAGTAACCCCTGTGCCTTGCCGGGTGTGACCCAAAAAGGAAAAAAAAATCTCTTTTCCTGGGGACTGAAATCCCCCTCCCCCTCTATCCCTGTCCCCAGTGTTTATTCACAGAACTGTGGGGTGGGCTCCAGAGTGCTCCCTCAGGGCACCCAGAGCCGGTCCTGGCTCCACAGACCTCCCGTTATAGGATACTTGCCCCCCCTCCTGCCCTTACAGGACCACCCACTGTGTACGGACGCACCCTGGGTCAGGTGTGCACTTTTCAGCCCACACCCTCCAAATCTGTGAAACGGGCCCCTTGGTGCCCTGCAGACTTGTCAGGGCTGCCGAGTGCATGATGCAGAGTCCAGGTTTGGGAGGTTGTTAAGTAGATGGTCTACTGGAGCCTATGTAACAAAAACCAAATCAAGCAACATGGTCTAACAAGCAAGGTACGTTTTATTGTACATATTTTCCAAAAGACATACATATACACACACAAAAAAATCAGAACCCACAGGGAGGTGCAAAGAACAAAGGTTTCTAGCTCTCTGGGCTCTGCGGGCACCGTGTCGTATAGAAACAGAGCTGGTACACGACGAAAAAATGTACTACTCAGCATTGCCCATCGCTGCCCCAGTCCAAAAAAGGCGATAGAGAAAAACATTTTAGATTGTTATAAACTTGTTGCACGGTTAAACTTCAATTTTACTCAAAAGTTATTGTATAGTAAACTGCAGAAAATATAGTTGGCATTCGACCATTTGCTCAAAGGAACAATTTAAGCCACAGACACCTGCATCAACAGGGCGAGGATCCCTGGGTAACTGCACCATCTTTAGGGAATAGGAGCTGGTTTCACAGACCGGTTTGGAGTCACCAGAACGGAAGTCGAAAGTAATTCCATTAAATAACTGACTTTAGGAACCATTTCCTCAGGTCTGGGCCACTAATGGTTCTGAGTTACATACTCGGGCAGGTTTCTGCGGTTAAGAAATAGAGATATTGAGAACTGAATTCATCGGGGGAGGGAAGAATGAAGTGAGCTCACTCTGCAGCAATCTGGTTCTGTTTGTCTCTTTGGGAGAGGCAGAGGGGCAGGGCCGGGATAGGGATACAGTAAACAGACGTGCCATGTGACAGGGTCGGTACTCTGCTGCCACTTAATGCTAAGGAGTACCTCCTCTCACGTGCACTAACACAGAGCGATCTGAAAACATATTTGAAATGGGGCATGGGCCTTTCCTTAGCACAGACATCCTAGATCTACACATCAGACCTTTCTCAAATCGTCTACTTCCTCGTCTCTGTTTGTACAAAGTAGTGTGTGTTCAGGATGGAAAAAAAAAAAAAGAAACCAAAAAAAAAAACAAAAACAAAACCAACCCAGTAAACTGTTCAAGAACTCTGATTGTAAATGACCCGTTTCAGAGGAAGGTGGTCTCAGTAAGGCAATAGAACCAGACGCCCCGCTTGGCTCTCTGCGTGCGCCCAAGAAGGAAATGGAAAACGTTCAGTTTCACCCAACGCCATCCACTGTAACTGCCCTCACGGCTGCCTGCAGGATGGCAGCCAAGGGGCTGACTGTGCATTTTTTTTTTTTTAAAAAGAAAGGAGAATGGTGACTGGCTCCAGCAGAGAGAAAATGGGATGAAGACAGTCTCCTTAACACTCCCTCAGCAAAGGGCTGCTCTTGGAGCGAGACAGGAGAGCAACCCCCAGGAGGCCGTACAAGCACTTTCGATTCTCAGCGGGATCTTTCATGAAAAAATGCAATAAAAATGCTTGAGATTCTCAGCAACTGGGTTCCTTCTGCTCAGTCCACCACGGATTTGGAAAAAAATAAACCATCACATTTTCAGCAGTTAAAAACGGAACTAGAGTCCAGCAGGTTTTCTCACCTCACACCCCCCCCCCCCCCTTCTCTGTTTTCCTTTCAGAATGAAATAAAAATCCCAGGATAGTAGCTGGGTTGAACCCTTAACTGAACAGAAGCTGCCGTTTAGAAGCTGCCGTTTAAAAGTTATTATGTCACTCATTTTTTTTTTTGTTTTCTCTTCCAGACTATGTTAGTATTGGATGTTTTGCGAAAAAGCCTAGGAAATGTTTTTAAAGGAAAAAAACAAAAAACAAAAAACTTTTTTTTCCCAGGAAACATCACAACAGAAACTTCAAGGAGCAAACAAAACCCTTCAGTGTCATCTCTGAAGGCAAGTCAACTTGTTTCTTGGACCACAGCTGGGGATTCTCAGGGCTTCCTCCTGGCTGTGTTTAGGGAACGGAACCTAGGTCTGCCCCATGTAGGGTTTCACTTGCTAGATACTACGGTGAGCCACTGGCCAGTCAACTTTTAATGCAGCTCCCTCTAGATCATGATGGGCCTAAACCCCTTTCCTTACTGGGTCACTTGGCCATTAAGACATCTCAGTGCCTGCGTTCTAAGGTTTCTGTTCCTCTCAGCGACCGGCTCACTGGGAGGGGAGAAGGGAAGAGATAAGCAAGCAGTGGTGAGTTCTCCATCTGGATCTGTTCCTAAGACTAAGGAAGATCCTGTTCCTACTTTCCTTTTGCCGTGGAGTCGCCCCGACCCCTCACGTCCGTGGCCCAACGCCATACATATCTCTGCCTGACTGTTAACCACCAATGTCTGAACGCTCAAAGACTCCCTAACCCCCCCTCATCCACATCCTGGGACTAATAAGAAGCATGTGAAAAAAGCTTTCAAAGTGGCCACTGGCAACAAGAGATTTTGCTGGCTGCCGAGAAAGGCATTCAGGAACTCGGAGTGACCACATCGGACCTGGTGCAGGACTGCTGCTCTGGGCCACGGATTTCCAACCCCCAGGCCTTAGCATCGGGAGCTGCCACGGGAAGGCGGTGACACTTGCAAAGCTTCAGAGTTCTCCTCCGGGGAGGGGAATGAACCGCCACGGGAGGGGAGGCTGTTTCTCTGGGAACCACCGTGGGGCCTCCAGAGGCGGCCGAGGCAGTTCCAGGAGAGATTCGTCATCTTTTCCCGGCGCACCCCAGCTGGGAGCTGGACCTCCACTCGCCAGGGCGGGTGGGCTGTGATGCAGCCGGCGACCAGCACCATCAAAACGTTCTGAGCCCAGCCCGGGAGCGGGCGGGGGACCGGCAGGAGAGGGACGGCATGGGGAGCCGAGCCTTGCCACCCTTCGCTCACGGGCAGACTGAGAGGTGACAGCGAGTGGACACGGATGTCTCCTCTGGGCAGGCCTGTCCCCGTGAGCCTGCACACACCCCAGCAGGAGCGAACAAGTTCTTCCTCCCCCGAAATCCTGCTCCAGCGACAGAGGGCCCCCTAGGGCTTAGGGTGGGGGGAACCCCTCTGGGCTAGCCTGAGGGGAAGGGCGCTGGTACTCTTGGAAAGGCTTCGGCCACATTTGTTAGTGCCCAGCATCGGTTCGAGGCAGTTTCCTCTGCGGTTCTCGCTGGTCAGGTCCTTCTTGGCGCACACAGCAGCTCACGGCGGTCGACGAGAAAAAAAAAACATTCCCCCAGGGGCTCCATGCCTGAGCACATCCCTCCACCGCAGGGGGCGGGGGTGTGTGTGAAAGAGGGGACCAGCCCCACTGGGGGCTCCCTCTGCTCGGGCCACCACTGCCCCCAAACACACCTGGACATATTTTTTTCTTAAAAAAAATTCCAAAAAACAACAAAACAAAGAAAACAAAATGCTGCTCGGTCGGTTTGGTTTGGTTTTAGTGGCTACTGTGAGCGCGGGGCTACAGGGGCGGGGGGCGCTGGGCGGTGGCGCTGGTGGGGATGCGCGACTCCGCCGGTGGCCGGGTCAGTGCGGAGAGAAGCCGGTGGCCAGGCTGCAGCCCACCACGGGCGTCATGTCCCAGATCTGCAAGACAAACCAAGAGGTGGGAGGCAGGGCTGCCCAGGAGACGGGAACTGAAATGCCTCGGGGGAGGGGGTGGTGCCGGGGACCCGGGGATCGATACAGGCTCCAGGGGCTGGACCGAGGAGCAGAACGCATAGGGTGTTGTCCTGGGTTTCCAGCATCCCATATGGTCCCCCCGAGCACTGCCGGGAGTAATTCCTGAGTGCATGAGCTCAGAATAACCCCTGTGCCTCGCCAGGTGTGACCCAAAAAGAAAGAAATTTAAAAAAAAAATAAAACCTGGTTCCAAGCAGCTCATCCCCTCTTTAACACAGAGCCCGCTCCAAGGCTCAGTCAGAGATCAGGCAATATGGTTCACCAAAGCACAACGATGGCCCTCAGGTTTCTGGGGCGTGGGGGGCGGGGAAGGGGGAAGGAGAGGCCACACTGCTCAGAGCCGGGGGGCTACTCCCCACTCAGTGCTCGGGGGACCATGGGGAGCCAGGGATCTAACCCAGAACCTCACGGCGTTCCCGCCCCCTGAGCCGTCCCCTTCGCTCGGCAGTGAGCTGGCCGTTCTAGCTTTGATGCCTGAGAAGTGCGTCCTCGTGGGATTTCACTACAGATTTAATTCTGTCCTGCACACAGCCCGTTGGGGGGAAGAGGCCCCGGTTTGTTCTGGAAAATGGTTTCATGGCTCAAGCCGGGCACTAAGCGGTGTTGAGTTTCTGGGACCAGGGAGAGAATAGAAAGATGTGTGGTCAGTTCTTTTAACTTTCTTTTTGCTTTGGTTTCGGGCCAGGCGCGGGGGTGCTCAGGGGTTCCTTCTGTCTACACTCAGGAATCTCTCCTGGCGGTGCTCGGGGGAACACAACAGGGGATGCCGGGGACTGAATCCAGGTCGGCCACGCGCCCGGCAAGTGCCTCACCTGCGCCACCTCTCTGGTCCCATGACATGCGGTGATTTCTGACAACCACAAAGGCCCGGACGGAGGCCACGGCACTGGCAGGGGAGCAGCGGGAACTCGGGGGTCTGTTCCCCGAGGTCTGGGCTGGCTCCAATTCCCACTTGCCAATCAGAGGGCGAGATTGTCCTAGGAGCACCCAACGCCACTCGGCACCAGGAAGGGGAGAGTCACCCAGACAACGGGGCAGGTACCTTCACCACCCGGTCGGTCCCGCAGGTCACCATCAGGCCCCTGGCCGCGTCCATGGACATGTGGGAGATGTTGTGTTTGCCTTCATGGAAGGTGGCCAGCGAAGTCCGGCTGGAAGAGAAGAGGCCGGTGAGACCCGGGTGGGGCATGCCTTGCACGGGGCCGGGGCCGACCCGGGGCTGACCCTCTGCAAGCGGGGATGCGGGCTGACTCTACGGGGACCAAAGAGGGGCGGGAGTGCCCAGGGGGTGGGCAGACACTCCCAACCCACTGACTCTGCGGTTCCCGCCCGAAGGCCTTCCCAGACGTGGAAGTGGGAAGCTCGGCTGCAGAGGCGCTGGTCCCTGCCCCCAACCCCCTGACCCCCGCCCCCACCCCCCTCGCCCCCAGGGGCTCTGCCAGGGAGGCCTGTCCCTGCTGTCTGCCCGAGAGGACAGCATGGGCAGCGTCTGGTTAGAGTCTGAGCCCCACCCCCAACCCCGGGCAGCAGCAGGGCCTGGAGGCCGGGTGGTCAGATGGTGGGGTCTCACTTCTGTCTGGGGGCCCTCCCTTCCCGGGAACTGAGTTCGCTCTGCGGCTGCCAGGGAGTGTCTGTGGCCTCCCTGCTGCCCTGCGCTTGCCCGCGGGCTGGGGGGAGGGGGGTTGAGGGGGGTGCAGAGACCCAGGGCATCGGGGTTGGGGGGTGGGGGGCTGCGGGCCGACACTCACTCCTCGTCCTTGATGGAGGCGTAGCAGGAGTCGCACATGCGGACCTGGAGCTCGAAGCCCATGACGGGGTAGGTGGAGCGTTTGCTGCTGCACTTGCCGCACACGGCCTGCCCGCACTTCCTGCAGTGGTGCTGGGCAACGGGCGGGGGTGGGGGGGAGAGGAGTCGGGGTGACCGCAGGTCGGGGCTCCCGCCAGGCCACCCACCGCTTTTTCCTGAATGTCTGTCTCGGGCATCCATGGGGAGCGTTAACACCCAAGTCCAGCCCTTCCTACGGCAGAGGAAGATCTCGACCAAAGGGTGCCTTTCATTCCCCCTGCTTATTTTGTTTTTATTTGGGGGGAACCACTCCCGACAGTGCTCAGGGCTCACTCCCAGCCGCGCTCGGGTGATGGGATACATGGGATCGAACCCAGGCCAGCCACAAAGCCAGGCAAGTGACGTGGTACCCACGGCACTATCTGGCCGGTTTCTGAAATTCTACAAGGCCACACGGGCTCCCTGAAAGGCACATCACCGGGTGCCGGGGTTATTGGGAGGGGACACGGTGTTCTCCTTGCACACAGGCAACCCCGGTTTGATCCCCGGGGCCCCGTATGGTCCCCAAGCCCTGCCAGGAGGGAACCCTGAGCACAGAGCCAGGAGTAAGCACTGAGCACGGCCGGGTGTGGCTCCAGAACGCGCCCCCCCCAAAAAAAACCTCCAAAACAAAACGAGAATATTCCAGAAGATTCCAATTACTACTCTTGACTCGGGCACATTCCTTTACAGGTTTGCTCTCTCCTCCTAGTTCACTCCGAAGAGTGACTCCGCTTTGCCTGTGTTTCCTTAGAAGTAGGGACGATTGGTTTTCATAACCAGCCAGAGAAAACAAGTTATATTTCACAACGCCTTTTCAGCAGTTCTGATTGTTGGGGGGTGGGGGGGGGACATTCCAAACAATAACTGGTGCATCTTTTGTCGAAATGATGAATGCATTCAAAGTAAAGAGAGAGTGTTAAGTAGAAATCATCTGCCTCACAGACATCGGGGGGGGGGGGGATATATTGGGGTTCTTGGTGGTGAAAAATGATTACTGGTGAGGGGAGGGGTGTTGCACTATTGGATGACTGAGACTTAAACCTGAAAGCTTTGTAACTTTTCTCACAGTGATCCAATAAATAAATAATCAAAAATTTAAAAAAAGAAGTAGGGACGATGTCACCCCAGCAATGACAGTGCACCTGGCGCCACCAGACATGTGCTTCCTGCTGCATCTGCTCCCCCTCCCTCCCTCTCTCTCTTTCTCCCTCTCTCCCCTCTCCCCACTTACCTGCCTTAATCCCAGCGTCTTTGTGTCCCACATTTGCTTTATGTTCCAGAAAAAGGGCTGCTCACACTTCTGACAGGAATCGCTTTCCAACCACTGAGGAGCCTGAGAAAAGAGGCTGCCCGTCAGCACCCCCACAGACGCCCCCGTGGGTGTCGGAGCCCCAGCTGAAAGCCCCGTGGGTGTGGGCACTGTGTGTTCGAGCCCACTCTCTCTGAGACTCTCACGGCAGGTGGCCCCCCTCGCTGATACTCCCTCCGTAGAACTCCTCAAGCCACTGCAGCTCTCTCCATCGTATGTTCGTTTCTGGGAACTTGGATGGCTTTGGCCATGGTCAAGTACTCAAATATTCTTCATAGAAGTAGTGGGAAAAAAAATTGGGCGGGGGGGAATGTTTTCTGGCTTCAGGATCACACCCCGAAGTACTCAGGGCTTACTCCTGGCTCAGTGCTCAGGAATTGCTCCCCAGGGCCCTAAGTATTCCACTTTTAATCTACAGGAAATAATTATCAATGTGAGCACAGAGTATTGTCTTTAGACTTTTTTTTTTTTGTGCAAAAGTTGTTTGCGATCTGTACCCAGGGCTGGAGCACAGTGGGTAGGGCATTTGCTTTGCACGCAGCCAACACGACCAACCCAAGTTCGATTCCTCCGGCCCTCTCGAGAGTCTGGCAAGCTACCGAGAGTACTTTGCCCACACGGCAAAGCCTGGCAAGCTACCCGAGACGTATTCGATATGCCAAACACAGTAACAACAAGTCTCACAATGTTACTGGGCCCGCTCGAGCAAATAGATGAACAACGGGAGGACAGTGACAGTGACAGTGACCCAGGTGGGTAAAAACCCATTTCTTGCAGAATTCGGCCAGCCTGCCTGGGAAGGCCTGTGAGGGATACGGGGGCCTGGCAAGAAAGTGATGCAGAGAGTCTCATGGTGGGCTCCGACTCCCTGGCCTCTGCTCGTCTCCGAGCTGCTGTCTCCGGCATGAGCACTCCGGCAGAGACTTTGAGTTTCTCTATCACTCCTCCCACCCCCACCCCAGCTCCAAACAACAATGAGTTCTCCCCACTGGTCTCCTCAGTCTTGTGTGTACAGCCAGACGCAGGGATCTGACCCCCCAGAAGCAGGGGTCTCCCAGCCATACCACCGCAGGAGCCCCCAAATACACGGCAGAAATACCATCCGCACGCCTGTGCTCACTGGAGCGCTATCCACCACAGACAGAACACCTGAACCCCTGAGTGCCCTCAGACAGCCGACAGAATTAAAAACAAAACAAAACAAAACTATGGGACATCTACACAATGGAATACTACTTATAACCACTAGGGCGGAAAGAAGTCATAAAATTTGCTTAAAAGTGGATGGACATGGAGAGGCTCACGCTGAGTGAAATGAGTCCAAAGGAAGGCGCAGGGTGATAATGACTGCACTCATCTTGGGATATTAAAAATAGTATGAGACTAAAACCCAGGGACAGTAGAAACAAGGCCCAGGAGGACTTGGTTGACAGTTGGAAGCCTACCCAAGCGGAAGGGCGTGGGCAGGGCAGTTGGGATAGAGAAGGGACCACTATGGTAATAGCAGTTGGAAAGGAACCTCTCAGTACCTGTATTGCAAACCATAATGGGGGGGGGGGGTAGGGGAGGGAGAGAGAGAGAGAGAGAGAGAGAGAGAGAGAAAGAGAGAGAGGCAGGCCATAGGGGTAGGCTGGGGGTACAGTGGGAGAGAAACTGGGGACAATGGTGTTGGGAAATACACACTAGTAAAAGGGTGGGCGTTGCAACACTGTGTGACTGAAACCCAATCGTGAACACTTTTTTTCTTTTTTCTTTTTTTTGGGGGGTCACAGGGGTTACTCCTGGTTCTGCACTCAGGAATTACTCCTGGTGGTGCTCAGGGGACCATATGGGATGTTGGGAATCAAACCCGGGTCAGCTGCGTGCAAGGCAAATGCACGTCCCACTATGCTATCGCTCTAGCCCCTCAAGAACACCTTTGTAACTGTGTATCTCGGGGTGATCCAATTAAAAAAAATAAAAACATGCGTAGAATAAAGTGAGGGTCTCGATTTTGTTGTTGAACAGTTGCAGGCAATGAAAGCCTCGAAATGACTTGACTGAGAACAGCTAAACGGAACACGTCAACCGACTTGGGATTTTCCTTTCCGAGTGCCTCGGAGTGTTTGGGCGTTCCTATTTCCTATTTTTCGTTCTTGGCTTTTGGACCGCAGCCGGCAGGGCTAGGGGATGGAGCCCAGGCTTCCGGCATGCCAGAGCCACCTTCCCAGGCCTTCTGGGCGGGAGGGGACCTCGCACTCATGAGGGACCCGAGTGGGCTGCGGCGGCTTCTTTGGGCAACGTGGAAGGGACACACTGTGGGTGCGAGGAGAGGTCAGAGCTACAGAGACATGTCCCCCTGGGAGTGGGGTACTGGCCCCATGCAGAGTGTCCCGTTGCCATGATCGGCAAAAGGCAGGCGGGGGGAGGGGGGGGCGTTGGTTGGGGACAAGGCTCGTGAGCCCACCCCTGTGGGAGACAGAAGGGGGGATGGTGGCCACACATGGGCGGGCCTGAGGACGCTTCCCACCCCCCCCACACACACAAACACACACACACACACACACACACACACACACACTCAGCAGCACCCACCCAAATTGACTCAGGACAGAGTGTCTGCTTGTGCACTTCCGTTCAAGTCTGTGCTCCAGATATAAGGGATCAACTGCTGGATTTGCCTCCCACCCTGCAAAGGTTTGTGAGGACAAAACCGACACCAGGTCAAGTTGCAGCTAACATGAAGCCTCAACGAGGCCTCAGTTTCTGTTTCCCCAAACCAGGACTTGCTGTTTCTGGTAGACTCCCAGTTGAGTAATTTGCCATGATAAGGAATTGGGCAGCTGGGTCTGGCCGCTCATGAGGGGGGTCACTGTCCCCCTTCTTAGAAACTGTTGCTAACCATCGTCTAACTGTTAACCACTATTGTAATAGTGGCGAATACTCTCAATACTATACTCTCAATAGCTTGCCGGGCTCTCTGAGATGGGCAGAGGAATCGAACCCGTCTCGGCTGGGCCGGCTGCATGCAAGGCAAACGCCCTACCACTGTGCTATCACTCCAGCCCCATAATATTGTAACAGGGCCAGTGCTAAAAATAGACCTGAATATAAATTGCTTCTTAACATTGCGGGACCATGTGGGATGCTGGGCATTGAACGCAGGTCGGCTGCGTACAAGGCAAATACCCTCCCCGCTGTGCTATTGCTCCGGCCCTCAAGACGCTCCATTCTAATGATTACCTGCTCATGGGTGCTCCGGGGCCTGACTTCCCAAAGGGAACCCTCTGATTAGGATCAGGCAGGGACGCAAATTTGCTTCTAACCCGTCCAGGTGGTGGCTGATGCCAACAAGCGCTGGAACTTGAGCAGAAGTTCCCACACTGTGCTCTTCTGCCTCTTCTCTGCCCTCGCCCGAGGAGTCCGGCAAACTCCAACAGAGTTCAAACCCAGGCTGCCAGTCTCCTGCACTCCTTTAACTCAGCCGGCAACAGCGAAATAATAAACATCCACTTCCACCCCTACCCCCACCCCCCCCAAACAACAGTGCATGATCTCTGTCGCATTCTCTGTCGCAACCACCAACACCGCCCAACCACGGGGACAGACCCGGAAGGCCGGTGAACTGTGTTCCCGGCCGGACGCACAAGATCTGGAGGGGCTGTCCACAAGCTGAGAGGAAGCGCTGCCAGGATAAGCCTCTTTCCTTTCCAGAGACTACAAAGGAACTCCAGGATCCCGATCACCGGGGCCTGGAGCCAGAATCCTGCTTCGACTTTCTGCTCTTCTCCCAGAATGAACAAAGACTTAAGAATAGTGGATTAATGCCCGTCTCTGTGATGTGAGGTGATATCTCACTGCTGCTTCCATGTGCATATCTCCCTGATGATTAGAGATGTAGAGCAATTTTTCTGTGTGGGGAGGGAGGGAAAGAAGGAAGGAGGGAGGAAGGGAGGAAGGAAGGGAGAAAGAAGGAAGGAAGGAAGGAAGGAAGGAAGGAAGGGAGGGAGGGAGGGAGGGAGGGAGGGAGGGAGGGAGGAAGGAAGGAAGGAAGGAAAGAAAGAAAGGAAGGAAGGAAAGAAGGGAGGGAGGGAGGGAGGGAGGGAGGAAGGAAGGAAGGAAGGAAGGAAAGAAAGAAAGGAAGGAAGGAAAGAAGGGAGGGAGGGAGGAGGGTAGGAGGAAGGAAGGAAGGAAGGAAGGAAAGAAAGAAAGGAAGGAAGGAAAGAAGGGAGGGAGGGAGGAGGGTAGGAGGAAGGAAGGAAGGAAGGAAGGGAGGGAGGGAGGGAGGGAGGGAGGGAGGGAGGAAGGAAGGAAGGAAGGAAGGAAAGAAAGAAAGGAAGGAAGGAAAGAAGGGAGGGAGGGAGGAGGGTAGGAGGAAGGAAGGAAGGAAGGAAGGAAGGAAGGAAGGAAGGGAGGGAGGGAGGGAGGAAGGGAGGAAGGAAGGGAGAAAGAAGGAAGGAAGGAAGGAAGGAAGGAAGGGAGGGAGGGAGGGAGGGAGGGAGGGAGGGAGGGAGGGAGGAAGGAAGGAAGGAAGGAAAGAAAGAAAGGAAGGAAGGAAAGAAGGGAGGGAGGGAGGGAGGGAGGGAGGGAGGGAGGAAGGAAGGAAGGAAGGAAGGAAAGAAAGAAAGGAAGGAAGGAAAGAAGGGAGGGAGGGAGGAGGGTAGGAGGAAGGAAGGAAGGAAGGAAGGAAAGAAAGAAAGGAAGGAAGGAAAGAAGGGAGGGAGGGAGGAGGGTAGGAGGAAGGAAGGAAGGAAGGAAGGAAGGAAGGAAGGAAGGAAGGAAAGAAAGAAAGGAAGGAAGGAAAGAAGGGAGGGAGGGAGGGAGGAGGGTAGGAGGAAGGAAGGAAGGAAGGAAGGAAGGAAGGGAGGGAGGGAGGGAAAAAGAGAGTGGGGGAGGGAGAGATGGAGGGGATGGGAGGGGAGGGAAGAAGGAAAAAGCCCCAGAAGAAACTCCGCAGTCTCCCATTCTACCTTCCTTTACGGAGGGAGGGAGGCACTTTTCTAACAGCCCTGCGCCTCAGGGTCCACCATGGTTCTCCCGCAGTCCGCAGCTGATCCCGGTGCAGGGCACAGACGAGGGAGGGGGGGGGGGAACGGGACGGGATGGGACGAGGCTCAGCTTCCCTGCACCACCGCAGGCCCAGGGTCCCTGCGCCAGTGTCCCCGGGAGAGCCGGCCAAAGGGAGACCGCCATGCCGGGGACGCCGGGCAGAGCCAAAGGTGTCCTGGGGGTACCCTTGAGGCCGGCCAAGAGCCCACACACGCAGCCTGGGCCAGGCCAGAGCTGCGGACAGGGCCCCCGAGGGCGCCACCCCCGAGGGCGCGTCCACTCACCTCCTCTCTGCTCACGTCCATGTTCCACACGGCGATGCCCCCGTCTGAGGAGCAGGACACCAGCTGCCGGGTGAGCTGCAGGTAGCACAGCGCCTGCACCCGGTCACTGCAAAGGACACACATGGTCACGGGGGGCCCGCTGGGGAAGAGATGAGATGCCACTCGCCCGCAGGCTCCAGCCCTCCCGGACTCGGGATTCCCGGGCAGACGTGCCCTGCCACCTGTGACAGGGGGATCCGTCACGGTTTCCGGGAAAGAAAGACCAGGGCACTCGGCATTGCTGATGTTCCCAGATGACAAGGAGGATTTTGGGGGTGGCGGCCGAGCTGGTCTGGGTCCTGCCCTGGGGCTTACAGTTGCTGTGGCAGCAAAAGGAAGGAAGGAAGGGAGGGAGGGAGGGAGGGAGGAAGGAAGGAAGGAAGGAAGGAAGGAAGGAAGGAAGGAAGGAAGGAAGGAGAGAAAGGGAAGAAAGAAAAAGAAGGCCTCACAGGCCAAGAGAGACCTTCCTTGGGCAGGGCGGACAGTGGCAGCTCCGGGCAGGGGGATCTTTGCACTTGCCAAGTGGCAGCTCTGGAGTGGCCTCCTCCAACCATGGCCTGATGGTGGGGTGCACCCCCAAAGTGCCAGCCACCTGGCATGCCTGGGGGGCAGGGGTGGAGGGCTCCCAGCTGTGACCGGGGACGAATGTCCCGCCTGCACCCTTTCCTGGTATGGTGGGGACAGGAAAAATATGGATGCATTGGGGACCATTTGCCCTAGGGTGCGCCCACTTACTCAGCTGGGCACCCTGACCGGGGTACACCCTTCACTCCTGAGCTGGCCGGGGAGACCCACCAGGCACCCTCCAAACTAGTCCTGCTGTTTTGGGGTCACCCCCAGTGGTGCTCAGGGCTCGCTCCTGGCCCCGAGCTCAGCAGGGATCACTGCTGGTGGGGCTCTGGGGACCGTTCGGGGTGCCGGGGACGGAAGCCGTGTCAGCCGCGTGCAGGGCAACCGCCCTGCCCTCTGTGCTGTCTCTCGGATCCCCTCGGATGGGTCCTGGGGTGGCCGAGACTGCCCGGATCACTCCCCACCTGGGAAACCGGCTTCAGGAGCATCACACTTTCCTGCTTGCTCCAGAGACGCAGCTTAGAGGCGGGGATGCGCTCTGACCCCTGAGATCAGGTCATCCCATGCGTGGGAGGTCACGGGCACCCACACGCGGGATGATGTGATGGCCAGTGAGAGACGCCCAGTGAGAGAAGCCCGCTGCCCAACCCAGGGGGGGACGAGGACACGATTCCCCGCAGGCACCCCGGGGCGGGCCTGGCTTCCACGGCACAGTTGACTGTGTCGAATCATGTTTCCCCGTGAACAAAATATGTTTCAGAGCTTGGAAATGACAGAGGCGCCAGGGACGGCCAGGAGTGCGACACACAATCCAGTAGCCAAAGGGGCTTAAAGGGGGGCCCGCCTTCCCCCTTCTCTTTTTCTTCCTTTCCTTTCTCTCTTCCTTTCTTTCTTCCTTTTTCTTTCATTCTTTCTTTTTCTTTTATTCTTTTTCTTTCTCTTCTTTCTCTCCCCTTTTCTCTCCCTTTCTCTCTCCCTTTCTTTTACTTCCTTCCTTCCTTTCCTTCTTTTTCTTTCTTTCCTTCTTTCTTTTCTTTCTTCTCTTTCTCTTTCCCTTTCTCCTTCTTTCTCCCTTCCTTCCTTCCCCTTTTTATTTCCTTTTTCTTCTCTTTCTCTGTTCCTTCCTTTCTTCCTCCCTCCCTCCCTTTCTTTCCTTCTTTCTTTCTTCTTTCTCTCTCCCTTTCTCTTTCTCCCTTCCTTTCTTCCTCCCCCTCTCTTTTCTTTCTCTTTCTCTTTCTCCAAGCCAAGGGGACCCAAAGTTCGGGTCTTTGCGGGCTGACGCTCTGGGAGGGGTGGATGAGGGTTGCGGGTTCCAGGGAAGGCTTCCTTGGACCAAGAAGGCGGAAAGCCCTGGCTGGGGACACCACCCTTGGGACCACCGAGAGAGGCAGGGGCAGAGGTGGACCAGGCGCGGGCCAGCGCCACGGGACAGAACGGAGGGCACTTGCCCTGCATGGACCTGACCCAGGTTTGATCCCTGGAACCATACTGTGGTCACTGGGACTGGCCAGGAGTGATCCTTGAGCCCAGAGTCAGGGGGAAGCCCTGAGCACTGCTGGGTGGGCCCCAAAACAAAAAGGGAAAAAAACCCAAAAAAACAAAAAAACAAAAAGGAAGCAGCAGGGTGAGGCCTATCAAGCTCCAGCCACGGTGCCTTCGCCCTCGCCCCCAGCCCCGGCCCCACCTACTGATGGCCCTGGAGCAGAAGCGTGCGGCCCTTCCGGCCTCCGATGTCCCACATGATGATGCTGTTGTCGGACGCACCCGAGAAGAGTAACCGCTGCAGGGGGTCCCACCAGAGGCAGGCGATACTCCCTAGGGCGAGAGAGAGAGGTGACAGGAGTCTGCACATAGGGTCCATCCATCCCGACTTGGTCCCGAGTCCGGGCACACCCACCACCCAAGGTCAGGTTGAGAGGCGAAAGGCTGAAGTGCGATGTTTGCTTGGCCCTCCGGGGCGAAGAAAGTCTTCTCCAACGGGCACGAAGAGCAGGAGAAATGGTCCTAGGTAGGCAGCTGGGCACAGGGATGGGGGAGGAGGGATCAGGTAGGGAGGGGAACACCAGGACAGTGGGGGAGGGGGGAAGTGCCTACCGGAGGGGCAGGCTGGGGGGCAGGAGGGAAACCAGGATTTGGGGGGAAGAAAGTGCCACTACGAGAACAGACGACTGGTTAAAGGAACTTTGGTACATCTACACGATGGAATACTATGCAGCTGTTAGAAAAGATGAAGTCATGAAATGTGCTTATACGTGGACGGTTGTGGAGAGTATCAGGCCAAGTGAAATGAGTCAGAAAGAGAGGGACAGACATAGAAGGACTGCACTCATTTGAGGAATATAAAATAACACAGTATGAGACTGACACCCAAGGACAGTAGAGACAAGGGCCTGGAAGACTGCTCCATGGTTGGTAGCCTGCCTCATGAGCTGGGGAAGAAGGCAACTGGAATAGAGAAGGGGTCACTCAGGATCAATGATGGTTGGAGAGATCGTTCAGAATGGGAGATGTGTGCTGAAAGTAGATAAAGGACCAAACATGATAGCCTCTCAGTATTGCAAACCATAATGCCCAAAAGTAGAGAGTAAGGGGGAAATTGTCTGCCATGGAGGCAGGGGCAGGGTTGGAAAGGGGGGATATACTGAGGCCATTGGTGGTGGAGAACATGCACTGGTGGAGGGATGGGTGTTCGATCATTGTATGATGGAAACTCAAACATGAAAGCTTTGTAACTGTATCTCACAGTGATTCAATAAAAAAAAATGCATAAAAGTAAGAACTCTCAGGGCTGGAGTGCTAGCACAGTGGGTAGGGCGTTTGCCTTGCATATGGCCGACCTGGGTTCGATTCCCAGCATCCCATATGGTTCCCTGAGCACCGCCAGGAGTAATTCCTGAGTGCAGAGCCAGGAGTAACCCTTGTGCATCGCCCAGAAAGAAAGAAAAAAAAAAGAACTCTCAAGATTGGATGTAAATGATGGAATAGGACTACGGTTTTTCAGTCGTATCAAAGATTTTTAGATGATTACCCTACCACCACCCCCTCTGCTCTGCATCAAAATACTGTTGAATAACTGTGAAAGTTTGTTTCAGAAAAAACTTCCATGGAAAAAAAAAGATAACAAAGCTATTGATATTTCGTGAGAAAGCACAGTCAGGTTTACTGTGGTCATTTCGTAAGAGAGGCACAAAACGGCGGCTGGGGAACCCGAAGGCACGGCGGTGTGGGGTTCAGAAAAATGAAATTAGGTGCTCCAGAAAAAGGCTCTGCAGGTTTGCGCCAGAGATTTTAGGTAAAAAGCTCAGTGAAGCCTGAGCTTTTTACTCAGTGCTGGCTACACTTATCCAGTTTGCCGCTCTCGGGAAACGAGCATTCTGCAGATTTTCTTTCAACCCAATCTCCAATAACTGCTGTCTGGCTAGAAAAAAGGTGAGGAAAAAAAGCTTTAAACTGAACCAGTTACACAAGCTAATGGTAACTGTGGTGTGTGAGTGTGTGTGTGAGTGTGTGTGAGTGTGTGTGTGTGTGTGAACATATTCAAAACCAAATAGCAGAAATTGGTTTCTCACAGAACTGGAAGATGGAAACAAGAGCTTTTTGTAAAACTGTCCTTAGGGGTCAATCTTGCCAAGTCCAGACCCTGTTAAATCCCATGCCCCCAACACCCCAACTAACGCCCCAGAGCAGACAACGTCCTCGTTCTACACTGACACACGGTGCGGTCATCAGAAGCCATCCGGTCCTCAGGCACTCACAAAACACGCAGTGTCTGAGAAGGCAGAAAGCATTTCCTCAAGCCTTGTGCTTTCCTGTCCAAATCTATTTTTTACTGTTCTCTGTTTCCTTTTCTGTGCAAGTTCCCTACAACCCAATTGAACTCAATTTCACCTAAATATATTATCTCGGAAGTATCACTGTATCACTGTCATCCTGTTGGTCATCAATTGCCTCGAGCAGGCCCCAGTAACGTCTCCTTTATCTTAGCCCTGAGATTTTAAATAAAGTGCCACATTCAAGGCTCTTTCAGGGTCAGGAGAATGAGAACCATCATTGTTACTGGTTTTTGGCATAGTGAATATGCCACGGGGAGTTTGCCAGACTCTGCCATGTGGGCAGGATACTTTCGGTAGCCTGCCAGGTTCTCCAGAGTAAGACCTAGATAATAAGATGTCATGCATTTGTGGCCGCATGCTTCCAGGAGCAGGGTTTTTTAGTCTCTGGGTCTTGGCCCTTGATGGGATTACACGGAGCTGGGGGCAGTTGGTGGGTGTGACGCCTACATACTGGTAGGTGGGGGATCTGGGTGGAGGAGGCCACAGTCCCAATCTGAGCAGGCTTGGAGATCTACACCCCGGGTCCTGCCGCATGAGTTCCTCGGCCAGTATCTCAGGAGTAGACAGTGTATTTAGCTTGTTATGCTTAAAACACTGCGTCTATGAGTCAATCCACCTACGATTTCCAAGAAATCCCCAATTCTTCAGTTTAATCCAAAAGGCCTCAAAGATTCTCATTTGTTACTGAATTCAGAAGCAGCTGAGTTGAAAAACTCTTCCCCTGGAGCCTTGATGAAATTCTACCCAGGAACTCTTTCCTCAGCCCTCATCAGGGTATGGATCCTAAGGAGAGGCTGAGTGAGTTGCCCAATTTCTAATTCATCGTGAACAAAAAAAATCATTTTGTTTAATGTCCTAGAAACTAACAAATAATGATATGAATCTTCATTTATTCTTCACTGCTTGATTTGTCTTTGTTGTTTTTTTTGGGGGGGGGACGGGGGACCACCCTGGCAGTGCTCAAGGCTTCCTTCTGGCTCTGTGCTCAGGGATCCCTCCTGGAGGGCTCAGGGAACCAGGTGAGATGCCGGGGATCAAACCTGCGTCTGCTGTGTGCCGGCAAGTGCCCTCCACACTGTACAGTCTATCTGGTCCCCAGACTCCACTCTTTGAGATCCAAACCCCCTATCTGTGCAATCAACCGGGAGCCCAAGTGGCCATCAGGAGCTAGCCATTTGCAAGAGATAGTGCCCAGAAGCACACATAGAATGCCATCGCGCAAGGAATCAGAGAGCGATCACCCGGCCTACCTTCATGTCCTTTGAGGGTTGTGATCACCGAACAGCTGTTCTGCTCAAGCTTCAACAGGGTGATCTGTCCTGAATAATCCCCGACAAAGGCATACTGTGTATCAAGATCGTATCTGTGGAGAAGCGGTCAAGGAGATGCGATCCAGCTTGGCATTAGAGAACAGAAAACGCACATTGAAATGAGCGTGGCACTAGTCCAAACTGAAAGGGGCAAAGAAATAACCAACATGCAGTCTGTCAACAGTGGAAAACAAAAACCCAAACCCACCGGGATTGATGGGAAATGTTCCTATTCATTCATTCAGCAGGAAGGGGGCAGCTGCCACTGTACTAACAGTATTAGAGGAACTCACAACGAAGAAGATAAAAGGGATGTGGAGAAAATGGGCGTGATGATGAGAAGTTAGGAACCCTAGGAAAACAGAAGCAAGTATAACTCGCCAGGGAAGTGGTCAGACTGCCAAGGGTAGGCCCCCAGCGTCACTTGACTGCTTGAGGGATCCCTGAGATGGACTCCCAATCGAAAATCGTAAAACTCAATCTTGAGCCAGCAGGGAAGAAGCCGAACCCACTGGAAGAATGCGTCCACAGAAAGTATCTCTGAAAACAGGCAACGGTGAGGGTGAGCACGTCAAGTCAGCCCTCTCATTGGAGCCCAGAGGGTTAAGCTCCGAGTGAGGAGGAGGAATTACTTTAAGTTCCCATGGACAGGTTTGGTCCCCTGAAAGGCAGGGGTAGTTGCAAACTTATATTTTAAATATACACTAATTCCTGGGGCCAGAGAGAGAGAGAGAGTACAGGGGCTCAGGTACTTGTCTGACATATAGCCAATCTAGGTTCATGTTCAGATAATAAGCCCTGAGCACTGCAAGTTGTCAAAAATAATAAATAAATAAATAAATAAATATACATACACACACACACACACACACACACACATTTACAAGCTAGAGCAATAGCACAGCGGGTAGGGCGTTTGCCTTGCACATGGCTGACCGGGCCGACCGGAGTTCGATTCTTCTGCCCGTCTAGGAGAGCCGGCAAGCTACCGAGAGTATCTCGCCAGCACGGCAAAGCCTGGCAAGCTCCCTGTGATGTCTGTATTTGATATGCCAAACACAGTAACAAGTCTCACAATGTTACTGAGCCCACTTGAGCAAACCGATGAACGACGGGAGGACAGTGACAGTGATATATATTTACACACACACACTCAGGTATGGATATGGGTGTACACACACACACACACATACTGTAGCACTGCACTGTAGCACTGTCCTCCCGTCGTTCATCAATTTGCTCGAGCGGGCACCAGTAACGTGTCCATTGTGAGACTTGTTACTGTGTTTGGCATATCGAATACGTCACGGGAAGCTTGCAGGGACATATATATATATATACATATATACATATATACACACTACTGGTATCAATTCATCACTTCTTCAGTTCCTCTTTGGGCCCGGAACCTTGAGAAACACCACTCGTTTACACAGGCAGGGTAAACCCTCTCTTAACGCCAAACCCAGGTCACTGGGCGCACCCTTCAAGCTGGCCGGGACCCCAGGGCTCTGTATGATCCCTATGGAAAGCCCGACACAACGCATAAACGTTTACTTAGTACCCGCAACACCTGAACTGTGGTTTTCCTTTCACCCTCTTTTCTCCTGAATCTGTGGCTCTATTTCCAATGGCATTTCCAACCGCCTGAGGCATGTTCGTGCGCACTCTTTCAGAAGTCCCAGGGGAGGAGGAAACCTCTCTGTGCCAGGTCTGGCTGCTGGAAGCGTGTCCTGCCCGAGGCCTTCTGCCTCCTGTGACTGGCCCCGGCCCCGCCAGCCCTGTGAGATGCGAACCTCCGCCACAGCCATGCTCCTGCCCCCGGGGGGACTTCTGAACATCTGCGTGAAAACCCTTTGGAAATAGCATTAAAAATTATGAATCATTTCCACGATCACAAACACACTTGGCAAAACTGTGCATTAAAATATAATTATGAGGGGCTGGCACGAGAGCACAGCGGGCAGGGCATTTGCCTTGCACGCAGTCAACCCAGGTTCCATTCCCAGCATCCCATATGGTCCCCCATGCACCGTCAGGAGAAATTCCTGAGTGCAGAGCCAGGTGTGACCCAAAAAGCAAAAGCAAAATATATATATATATATATATATATATAAATAATTGTGGGTTCAGAGACAGTTCTGGGGTTACAGCACTTGCCCTGCCCCCTGCCACGCCTGTTTTGAATCCCCGCCACCCCACAGGGTCTGCCAAGGAGAGACAGGGGTCAGTCTAGGGCACAGAGGCACAAACAGTCATTGATCACTTCTTGGCATGTCCCCCCAAACATACAAACAAGTAAAATACAATAGCAGTTATAATCACAGGGTGTGGACCCCAAAACAACCCCACAAAAGTCATATTTGTACAAACTATTAACTTCAATAAAAAATTAAAATTAAAAAAATTTAAGTAGAGGTTCTGTTGAGTTTCATAGACAATACTTGTCACCCACTGATAAACAGCAGACTCGCAAACCATGATTTGCCCTCAGTGGGTCTGCAAACAGCAGAAGTCCTAAAAGATCAAGTCTAGCTGATCCTCCTTTTTATTTAACTGGGGGTGGGGGGTGGGCACATCTGCCAGTGCTCAGAGCTTGCTGACTCTGGGAGGGCCTGGGGGACCGTTTGGGGGTGCCTGGGATTAAACTCAGATCAGCTGTGTGCAGAGCAAGTGCCCTGCTCTCACTCGCTCTCTCCTTCTCTCTCCCTCTCTCTCTCAACTCCCTTTAAAAACAAAGAAACAAAACCATGAAAACCAAAGATCTTTTCTTGGGGCTGGAGCACAGCGGGTAGGGCGTTTGTCTTGCACGCAGCTGACCTGGGTTCAATTCCCAGCATCCCATACGGCCCCCTGAGCACCGCCAGGGGTGATTCCTGAGTGCAGAACCAGTAGTAGCCCCTGTGCATCACCCAGTGTGACCCCCTCAAAAGAAACCAAAGAAACAAAAAACCAAAGATCTTTTCTTGAATATGGTGATGTCAGAGGATGGGGACAGGAAGGTCCCCTTGGTTGTGCCACAGCTCCAGGACACTGGTGTGGGCTCCAGTGATGAATACAGAGGTGTCACACTGTGTTCCTGAAATCTTACAGTCCTGCCAACTCAGAGTGCAATCATACAACTTAATATATATATATATATGTGCATATATATATATATACACATATAAAGTCTCTTTTTTCACTTCAAACTTCAAAGAATTGGAAAGGTGGCATTAATGATGTTTCCTTTTCCCGATTTCATATGAAAACCAGAGAGAATTTCCCAGCCACTTCCCCCACCCCTCCAAAAAGAAAAAAAAAATGATCTCATTATCTTGAGAAACCAATTTTATACCCAAGACGACACTGAAAGTCTTGAACTTCATCCCCCCAAAAAAGGCAGGAGCGAGCGAGTCATTCAACCCCCAGGAGCCGTCGCCCTCGTGGCTGAAGGATACTGCAGACACGAGGCCCAGGAACTGAAGAAGTGTCGGCCCAGCATGTTCCCACTGCGCGTACACATCCAGCTCACACACTTGTCGTGGCCCGTGCTGATCAGCCACTCGGCCGCCAGGCTGAAGATGATGGCCGACACCCGGTTCTGGTGCGCTGCAGGAACAGAGAAGGCATGACTGTCACCCCCCCTAGAAACCAGGGCCTGGAGGATCAAACCTGAGGGGGGCCGGGGGGGGGTGGTGGTGCTGAGGCCCGCCCCCGCCTCTGCACCTGCTTCCAGCTGCTTTGTCCCTCCCCACCTGTACCCCTTGGCCCTCCAAGGGGGACATTCCGAAGCTCCAGACAGGACAGGGACATCAGGCAAGAGGAGATCCTGTGTGTGCTGAAAGTAGATAAAGGATCAAACGTGATAACCTCTCGGTATCTGCATTGCAAACCATGATGCCCAAAAGGAGAGAGAGAGTCTGGGGGAAATTGTCTGCCATGGAGGCAGGGGGAGGGTTGGAAAAGGGAATACACTGGGGACACTGGTGGTGGAGAATGTGCACTGGTGGAGGGATGGGTGTTGGATCATTGTATGACTGAAACTCAAACATAAAAATTTTGTAACTGTATCTCACGGTGATTCAATGATGAAAAAAATTTTTAAAATAAGAAAAATTGGGGAAAAAAAAAAGAGGAGGAGGAGATGCTGGTACTTGCAACCAGCGTAGATAGCCTTTGGGGGATATGGAAGGGAAACGAGTAGGGCAGAGAGAGATCACCACAGTGACTCCGCTCAGACACAGGAGAGGAACAGAATGAATTCTAAGTCAACAGCAGGGAGGTGGGTGGGTCAAACCAGGTAAAAAGGATCAACGATAGGGCTGGAGCAGGTAGGGTACTTGCCTTGCATGCGACTCACCCAGGTTTGATTCCTGACACCCTCTACGGTCCCCCACGCCCACCAGAAGTGATCTCTGGGTGCAGAGCCAGGAGTTAGCCCTGAGCACTTGGGTGTAGCCCCAGAACAACAACAATAAAGATTTCTGTGTGTGTGTGTGTGTGTGTGTGTGTGTGTGTGTGTGTGTGTGTGTTCCAAGTATCTAAGTATATGGCCGAGGCTGGATGCCAGATGCCAGTGTTCTGGGGTGACTACAGCCTAAAATGCACAGGTGTCAAAATCCAACGCAGTGTAGCTGAAGCCTATGTACTGTTACTTCGATACACTACCTTAAAAGAGAGGAATGTTCCAGTGGAATGAAAGAAATCAATCACAGATTTTTTTTTTTAAAAGAAACCTAAAATCAAATCCCTTACTATTGATGAGTTTTATATTGGAAGCGGCAATTTCATCAGACTCATGATTTGATTATTTATTTAGCCCATTAAGGTTCTGGCATTTCAGAATCATCAACGAGCAAACGAGGGTATTTGGAATTGACCAAAAATAAGTGTTGGTGTTGGCAGTGCTGTCTATTAAAGGACTCTGGAACTGCTTGTATTTAGTCTTTCCTATCTATGAAGACGAGGCCGTCGGACAGTTCTCTAACCCCCGCCCCCGCAAGCAGCAGGTGTTTCCTGCTGTCTGTACCTTAACTCCCGGGATATTCGTACTTCCGGACCGACTGTCCACCAGACCGGGACAGTGACCCGCCTTCTAAGCTCCTGGCCGGGGCCAAGGCGGCCGGATGCCTATTCGCACATGCCCAGTTGGCTGCAGGAAGTCAGGGGCTGGACAGAAGCGGCTGCGCTTAATCCCAACCGCTGAGGTGGCCTGTAGAAAGTCCCGCAGGCTGGTGCGAGGAGGCCGGGCTGAACCTCAGACACCCTGGAAGGATGCTGGGAGGGAAAGGGGGTGCTGATCACCCTTGGCCCCAAACACCAGGATACCCAGCCTCAGATGGGTATCTCACACACACACACCCATTTGCCGTGAGGGACGGGGTGACGAACATGGGCCGAGCACTCTCCGTGTGTTTTAGAGCACTCTGTGACTTCCGCACATCGATAAGGGTTCTCAGGTCCACTTTCAGACAGGAAACTAGAAGGCGAAGCAAAACCAAAGGCAAGTTCAAGAAGTCGAGTAAGGGGTGGATTAACTTGGTGGACCTGACTCCAGAGAGCTGACCCACTAATCCTGTACCTGCCCTGGGACAAGAGAGCCTGAAGGTTTACCCTAGTCAGGGATGAAGAAGAGGAAGCAGACCCCTATCTGCTCCTGTGACAAGCCCTCCTATTTCCTTCTCTTTTTTGTGTGTTTTGGGCCACACCAGGCATTGCTCAGGGCTTATTCCTGGCTTTGCGGTGTTTGAGGCATTACGTGTGATACTGGAGATAAGATTGGGGTCAGCCACCCCAAAGCAAGCACCTTAACCATCTCCCCAGGCCAAGATTTCCCATTTTTATGGCCCTTCCTGATTGGTCTTTTAATGACTTAACTTTTTTCGGAATTACAGTAAAATATAAAAATGTCTTTTATTTTTAATTTTTTTCTTTTTTCTTTTGCTTTTTGGGTCACACCCGGTGATGCTCAGTGGTTACTCCTGGCTCTGCGCTCAGGAATTACTCCTGGCGGTGCTCAGGGGACCATATGGGACGCTGGGATTCGAACCTGGTTTGGCCATGTGGAAGGCAAACGCCCTACCTGCTGTGCTATCGCTCCAGCCCCTGAAAATGTCTTTTTGCTTCCTTTTTATTCAACCGTTTCATATGACAAAATAGAAAGCTTCAGAATCCCTAAGTAAGTCCCTCAATAGGCTTTTAATAGTCAATGAAATTAATCAATTTTATTAGCCAATGAAATAAAAAGGAAGAGAAATCACTGCAAACTTTGCTGCCTGATACCTATCAAGAACTTACAAGCAAAAAACAGATTAAAATACCACTGTACGTGTAAGTGTGAAACCACCTGAAATTCGCTGACAGATAAAATCATTAAGAAATTTGGAGGTGGTGGTGGAGTAATAGCACAGCAGATAGGGTGTTTGCCTTGCATGTGGCCAACCTGTGTTCAATCCTTGGCATCCATCGCTTTGGTCCCTTGAGCACTGCCAGGAATAATTCCTGAATGCTGAGCCAGAAACCTCTGAGCATTGCCAGGTATGATCCAAGAAGCCAAAAAAAAAGGGGGGGGGGGGGATTTGGGGAGGGGGAGGATAGAAATATTGATCACAGAGGTCTTCATATTTCTATGTATGAAGGAACTTATGATTCTTTTTTTTTTTTTTCTTTTTGGGTCACACCCGGCGATGCTCAGGGGTTACTCCTGGCTTTGTACTCAGGAATCACTCCTGGCGGTACTCAGGGGACCATATGGGATGCTGGGAATTGAACTTGGGTTGGCTGCGTACAAAGCAAATGCCCTACCCGCTGTGCTATTGCTCCAGCCCCAGAAACTTATGATTCTTGATTGTTTTCTCTCTTTCTTGGCGGAAGGAGGGGGCTCTACATCCAATGGCATTTGGGGCTTAATACTAGCTCAGGTATTAAGTTAGTATTAAGTTGTCACAATCACTCCTGATGGTGCTCAGGGGACCATACAGGATGCTGGGGATCAAACTGGAGCCGGAAGTTTGCAAGGCAAGAGCCTTAACTCCTGTATCCATCTAACCCATGATTCTTAAGTATTTTCAAGACAAACCTGCAGTGACAGTTGAGACTTTTAAACTATTTGTTATTTTGGCTTTTAAAAAGCAGTTCCAGAGGGGGGGGGGGGGAGAGAGAGAGAGAGAGAGAGAGAGAGAAAAGAGCAGTGGGTAAGGTGCCTACCTTCCATGTGGCTGGCCAGGGTTCAGCCTGGGTACCACAAATGGTTATTCCTCAGCCGGGAGTGTTCCCTGAGCACCGGGCAAGGAATAAGTCCCGAGCAAACACAACAACATAAAAGTAGTTCAAATTCTGGTAAAAGCATGGCAATCTTATACATTATTCAAGTAGCGCAAGACTGGAAAATCTTTTGTACCTCTGCACCAAAACAGTTTCCCTGACCAACATACGCTCAAATGGACAGTCATTAATGGGTCACCGGCCTAGTTTCGATTTGGAAGAGGTAGAACAGCTATCTAGGGGAAAGGCAACGTGTTCTAATTATAGTCTGAAAGTCCTTTTTTTTGTATTTCATTATTAGGCCAAATATCACAGAGATGAACAATGTACACTTTCCGTGTCTAGAATCTCTCATTTTTGCTTTCTTTTGGGCCTCACCCAGTAGTGGTCAGGGCTTACTCCTGGCAGGCTCGGGGGAACCATCTGGAGTAACAGGGGACTGAACTTGGGTTGGCCACGTGCAAGGCAAGCACCGTACCCGTTGTACTATCTCTCCGGGCCCCCAACTTTTCTTTTTTTCCATGAGCATGAAAGAAAATTTCATAAATATAGGATGAATCACATGAGATGAACTATTATATCTTCAGGGGACATTTCTGGGAGTCAACAGCTCTGAGCTGTTTTGTTCTATAACTCTAAGTTAGCAGCAGAGGCAGAGTGGGGCAGGCAAGAACACTTGTATTAAAAAAAAAAAAAAAAGAACTGAGCTTCCTGGGCACCAAATGGGTTGTTCTAGAAGGTATGCTTGGAGCTCTGTGCGGGTGTGTGCAAGTGTGTACTCGGATCGGAATGACTTCGCCAGAAGCAGGTTTTGAATGTACCCACGAGCCGAGTTGAGCCGTGCTGTACTGGAGTCTGTTCACCATGGGCTGTGGTGTGCTGTAAGTGTCACGTAGCCCCCAATAAAGAGTTTGGGGAAACACAAAAAAAAAAAAGAAGAAAGAAAAAAGAGGTGGGGGGAGAAAACTCCAAGGGCTGAATGCACACTTTATAACCAGGAGGCCCGAATAGGAGCCCTATAACACGTGGTCCCCCAAATACTGCCAGGAGTGAGCCCCGTGCATGGGGCCTGGAGTAGGTCCCAAAACCAAAACAAAAAATTAAAATGAAAAAAAAATTGAAGGTGAGAGAAACAGTTCAGGGGTTAAGGCACTGCCTTGCATGGAGCCGTTTCCGGTTCAATTTCCGGCTCCACATAGTCCCAGGGCTGTACTTGGCTGTCCCTGGGCACTTCCTGGTACAGCTGGCAAAGTCCCCAAGCAGGAGGAGGGGGGCCCAGGTAACCCTCAGCACCACAGGTGGGAACAGTGCCGCATCCTTGGGGGCCCCACGGGGAACCGCCACTGCCCCAGACCAAGCCGGGCTTAGATTCACAAAGTGCATGGAGACATCAGCAAATAAATACAGTGAACACCAGAAAAACTAGTTTTTGATTACTTTAAAAATATGTAAATTTCCAAGGCAAAGTAAAACCTGGCAGAATGTATCTGCCACAGGTGTCTGCAGCCTTCATGGCCTTGAGGGAAAGAAACCTCGCGTCTTAGGAAATTCGCTGAGACAGCTCCCTGGGAAATACAGGGAAATACAAGTCATACCCTTACAAAAGAGATGACAGATGGTCAACACTCAGGCAAATCTCATTTTAAAACTGTTGGAGCCAGAGTACAGCAGGTAGGGCATTTTGCCTTGCCCACAGCTGACCTGGGTTCGATCCCCGGCATCCCATAAGGTCCCTGAGTGCAGAGCCAGGAGTAAGCCCTGAGCATTGTCAGGTATGACCCAAAAAGGGGGAAAAAAAAACCCTGCATCATGTGACTAGCAAATTGGCACTCCCCGCAAACGCCTAAAGCAGCAGAGTGGTGAAGCCTGAAGGAGCAGAGACGCTCAACCACTGCTCATGGGGCTGTAAAAAAAAAAGTATACAACTGCTGGGAAGGACTCTGCAAAGGAAATAGAAAGCATCACAAAACTGAAATTTGAGCCAATTACTCCACTTCTTAGAAATCTGGCTGAAATGAAAATGATCAGGGAATAGAACCAAAATCCCCGGCAGACATACACACTCAAACACACATACGTGCACACAGACAGAAGGCAGAGAGAGAGAGAGAGAGAGAGAGACAGAGACAGAGACAGAGACAGAGACAGAGACAGAGACAACAACGGGAGCCGGACACGGCTGCCGCAACAGAATAAAAGCTGATACCCGCGTCCAGCCCTGCATAAAAACGCCTCGTGCCAACTCGAAGGAAAAGAATGCTACAGGTATTTCGAGCGCTGAGAGCCTCGGACATCCTCGAGGAACTGGACAACTTCACCGCGCTCGTCAAGCACCCACAAGCACGCGTGGACGAGGGCGTGTGGGATTCCGATTACCTGGGTAGGTCTTGATAAAGTTCATCTTATTGAAGTCTTCAGATACGTGGAATTCCTGAAAGCAAACATTAAGCGATGAGGAAGTGTTATGGGGTTTCAACCCAGCAGGTGCTTTCAAAACCAAGTAAAAACCAGGGGAAGGGGGAAGCCCCCGTCTGCCCAGCCCTTGGGGTTCCAGTTAGCTGGAATCGGGCCACCTGCCCCACAGCAGCTGAGCACTGGGGCGTTACTCCCCTGACTCACTCTGCTCTCATGGCTACACTCCGGTACGTCCAGGACAGATACTGCATGGACGTAGCCACCCCCCACCCCCCACCCCCAAGAGCTCTCAGCTAGTGGAAATGAGGTCGGGGCAGGGATGGGGAACTTCAGCAATGAAAAAACAAAGGGTCACATTCATTTAATATATACGAGCATGGAGCAAAAGAAGAACACTTAGAGGCTAGTTTTCTTCTTTTCATTATCATTTTTTTATACTCTTACATTTTTCCAAATGGATTGTTTTTTTAAGGTTGGAGATGTATTTTATTTCTTTTTTAGTAACCCAAATTTTTTTTTTAATTTTTTTATTTTTATTAGTGAGACACCATGAGGTACAGTTGTAGACTTACAAATTTTTGTGCTTGGGTTTCAATTATACAATGATCAAATACCCATCCCTCCATTTTGGACTAAGACTCTGTATAACTAGAAGGCAAATTTTACTTCTTAAAATGAAAATGAACCTCAGCCTAGAAACTAAAAAAAAAAAAAATTCTAAAGAAATAAAAACACAAATTTTTATGGAACAAAACTGGCTTGTAAATTAACATCATTATTATTATTATTATTTACTTTTTAAATTGAATTGCTGTTGAGATAGACCCTTTCAAAGCTGTTCACAATCAGGTTTCAGCATAGTGTTCCAACACCCATCCCTCCACCCGTGGACACTTCCCAGCACCAGTGTCCCTGGGTTCCCTCCCATCACACCCCCCCACCCCCCACCCCCAGCCTGCTTCTCTAGCAGGCGCTTTTCTCTCTGGCTTGTAAATTCTGTAGGTTCCAAGTAACAAAGACGCTAGGAATTGCTGGCTGCTCCGACTGAAAAAGTCCCCACAGAGGAATAGGGTCGGGGGTGGTCCCTCCCTTTTGGTTGGCAGAGAGAGCAACAACACGCGTCATCAGTACACTGGTCGGACCGTGGATAGTACAGAGGGGCAGGACAGTGGGGAGGGTGCTTGCCTTGAATGTGGTCGACTCGGGTTCGAGTCGCAGCACCCCATATGGTCCCCCGAACCCCACCACCTGAGCTCAGAGCCAAGAGTAAGCCCTGAGCCATCACCTCCCAAAACAAAACAACAAACGGTGTCATTATGGCCTGTGGATGACTAATCTGAACCGTGCACAGGAGAAAAGAGTCCACAATTGATGCTCGAGGGCTTTTTGTGAGCTTTGTGTCCAGAGACCCCTCTCCCGGGTGAGCAGGGGTCAGAGAGGAAGAAGCTGAATTACCGGCCCCGGGGGAGACGCCTTCCACGGCTGCTGCTAGGACAGCCAGTGGGACTCTACAGCAGGACCGAGGTGACTGGCCCGAGCTCGTGGACACCCACGCCCCTCCCGGCTGAGCGGCTGCGTGCTTCCCACGGGGTCCTCGGGGGCTTTTCTCAGCTGGAAGATGAACCCATGCCACCCAGGGCCCCCACTTCCTTAAGTCTCCGTTGCGGCCAAAACGCCTCTCTGCAGGCCAGCCCTCCCCCTGACCACTGGCTGCCTCCGGACGCCCTGGCACTGGCTTCCGTCTGACCACTGTCCCCCAGGTCATGTTCCAGCCCCACCAGCATCACCTCTACTGCCTGTTGCTCTGCCCCTCCACTCACTCACTCACTCTCCCTGGCTGACCGTCCACCCCCCTCTTCCTCCTGGGGGGCTCCTGACCCCCCATCTTTCCCAAGCTACCGGCACTCCCCAGAGAACGTGGCTGAGGCCACCGGCCACCGGCCCACTCTGCGCCTGCGACACACCATCCTTGGTCAGTATCGTTTTCTCCACCCAACTGGACGGATGTCCCAGCGGCCTGCCCCAACCTGACTATGGACCTCCCCCTCAGCTGGACACAGCAGGACACTCCGGGGCTGGCTCCAGCTCTCCGGAGTGGGGTCCTGCTGCAACTTTCTCCTGCTGACCCTCAGGCCTGGGTGGGACACGCCTCTACCTCGCTCCAAGAATCAAAGCGTGGACAGACCTTCTGGGGACGCTCTCAGGCTGCGGCTGCTCTGCATTCAGATTGGATGGATGCAGCCTGGTTGGGTGCTGTTTGCCCAGGCTGTGCGGGGCAAGGCCGCTCCAAGGGGGCGGGGGTGGGCGGGGCAGCCGGCCAGGGACCCAGAGCAGAGATGCAGGATGCTCAGTACTGCCATGACCTCCGAGGATGAGGCAACTGGGGCATTTTCTTCACCCACCAATGTGATACCAAAAAACTGCGATCTCTTGGAGAGCCCAGCAAGCTACCGAGAGTATCCCGCCCGCACGGCAGAGCCTGGCAAGCTCCCCGTGATGTATTCGATATGCCAAAAACAGTAACAACAAGTCTCACGATGGAGACGTTACTGATGCCCACTCGAGCAAATCAACGAACAATGGGAGGACAACAGTGCTACAGTGCTACAGCAAAACACACCCAAGCAAGCAGAAGGAAGAAAATAATAAAGAGCAGAGTTGAAATAAGTAAAAAGAATTAAAAAAAAAAAAAGAAAGAAACAGAGACCATCAAATAAGCCCAAAATGGCTGCTGAGAAAGTAACAGAATTGATAAAAACTGAACTGAAAAAAAAAAAAACCAACCTAATTCAGGAATGAAAAGGAGGAGAGTACATCCCTCTTAGAAAGATTAAAAGGGTTACTGTGAAAAATTATGTGCCAACCAATCAGACAGAGCAGACGAAATGGGCACATTCCTAGAAGTCACTGACAAACACTGAGGAAGGAACAGAAAACTAAAAGCAAGGGACTAATTAGCACTCAAATCCATCCCGTAATGAAAAATCCATTGGTAAATATTTCCAGAGTGGAAATGTGAATCTCTTAAAACTAAAAAAATGGGGGAGTGATAGTCCAGTGGGGAGAGTGTTTGCCTTGCATGCGGCAGACCGAGAGGTTTGATCTCTGGCATCCCATATGGTCCCCTGAGTGCAGGGCCAGGAGGAACCCCTGAGCATCACCAGGCATAGCTCCAAAACTAATAATAATAATAATAAAATTTAATGAGAGTAGAACTTGGATAGGTATTTGACAAAGAGGGTACACAAATAAACACCCAACAAGCTCAACCTCACCAGTGATCAGGGAAATGCAAATCAAAATCAACAACAAGATATCACACTAGGATGCCCTTAAAAAAAAAAAAAGGAAAGAAAAGAAAAGAAAAAACACCTTACAAAAGAGAAAACTGACCAGGACATGGCCCGGTGACTGAGCGCAGGCCTTGTGTGTGAGACCCTGGGTCCAATCCCTGGTACCAAAAAAACAAAGACCAACACCCCCAAAGCAACAGCAAGCACAAAAAGAACCGGAGAATAAAAAGTGTTGACGGAGGAATGAAAACCACTATGACACTGGTGGCAGGAACGTAAAATAACACGGTGACTTTGGAAATGTCTGGTGGGTCCTCAATGACCCTGCAGAACTGAAACACAGACTGCCACCCATGGACGTGAATGCTCACAGCTGTGTTCATCGTGTGAGTGAAAACGGGGAAAATAAGTCGAATGTCCAGCAAGCAGTGAACGGGCTGACAAAGTATGGTAAGACAACGGAATAGAATTATGATGTCAGCACAAATAAGGAACGAGGCAGTAATTCAAGCAACGGTCTAGGTAAAGTCTGAAAACATGAGGGTGCCAAATAAAAGAATCCAGACTCTAAAAGGCCACACCTCTCCTATCTTTCCGCCTATGTAAAATGTCCAGCACAGAAAAAAAAAAAAGTCTCTGGACTCAAAAAGCCAACTAAGGGGCTGGAGCGATAGTACAGCGGGTAGGGCGTTTGCCTTGCACGCAGCCAACATGGCCGACCCAGGTTCGATTCCCAGCATCCCATATGGTCCCCCGAGCACCGCCAGGAGTAACTCCTGAGTGCATGAGCCAGGAGTAACCCCTGAGCTTTGCCGGGTGTGACCCAAAAAGCAAAAAAAAAAAGCCAACTAAAAGGCTGGGGAGAGGAGTAGGAAATGGGGTGTCATCACTGATGGGTGGAGGATTTCTGGGACGGGAGGAGGAGAGTGGTGAAACTGCAGAGCCACTGAACCTCACAGTGAATTCTGGGCTGCCAAGGGAGATCTGTGGGCCGAGTGCTTCAGGACGCCTGCGATCCATCCCCAGCCTTGCCTGGTCCCCTGGGGTGCGTGTCACTCCAAAGCCAAAAGAATTTAAAACTAAAAATAATGACATGGTGTATCTGACTGTATGAAACGAAATTAAATCTCAATTAAGAAACTGAAAAACGGGGCGAGAACGATAGCAAAGCAGGTAGGGCGTTTGCCTTGCATGTGGCCGACCCGGGTTCGATTCCCAGCATCCCATATGGTCCCCCAAGTACCTCCAGGAGTAATTCCTAAGTGCAGAGCCAGGAGTAACCCCTGTGCCCAAAAGGCGGAAAAAAAAAAAGAAAGAAAGAAAAGAAACTAAGAAGTATATATATACAACTATATACACAAAAGTATATATACACAAGTATATATACACATATATACACAACTAGCACAACCCAGACCCACAAGAAGTGTCTGTCTATAATAAACTGAATATGTAAATATCAGGTCCTTCATGGAAGACTGTTTTGAGCTGCCTTTAACAGTTACATGGCTGGTTGCTCAATGACCAGCCCCTGATCGCATTCTTCCTTCCCCTCAACCGAAATAAAACCATTCCCAGGTCTAATAACTGAGCTGGATTCCACAACTCGCAGGCCCAGTGACCGGACATGAATTGTTCATTTCACTCAATCCGCCCGGCGGCAGGATTGGGCATGAGGAGGTCAGCACGAAGAACATTCTGGAAGCTACCTACCATCACGGCTCCGTTATCCTGGCCCACAAATATCCGTCTGCTATCGTGATGATAAGCCATGGCGGAGCAAGGAGCTGCCAGGAAGACAAAGAGCACGGTCGTTACCAGCAAAGCTAAGCATTCCAGGTCATGGTCAAAGCACGCACTATGTGGAGGGGCCGTTTACATTTGGGATGACAAAATGGCTGTTGAACAAAAAAATGAAGATCAACTGAAAAATGTTATTTCAAATCCGTTGTCCTTTTTCCATTTAAAATTCTAATCCAAAGGGTTGGAGAGCTAGTACAGGCATTCGGGAGCCTGTTTTTGCATGAGGAGGCAGACCTCGGTTCAATCCCCAGCTCAGCATCTGGTGTCCCCCAAAACTCACGGCACCATCAGGAGGCACCCCTGAGCACAGAGTAAAGGGCGGCTCCTTGGTACCATTGCAGGTGTGGACAACCCCTTCTTCCCCCAAATAAAACCAATACAAATTCTCATTTAAAAAAAAAAAAATCTTCTATGGAAAGCTTCCCACAAGCTGGCAGGAAGATTTGTCTGAGTGCAACTCCTGCCTATAGGCAGGAAAGGTCCAGGGAGCAGAACTGAGCGTGGGTGGCTGGGACCCCGAATCCACCTTCCTCCTGCAGAGAAAGGGCTGGCCTCTGTGGGCAAAGAGGTTCCCGGCCCAAAAGGTCCATTCCACGGTGTAGGAGGGCAAGTTGGGGAGGCCACCTTGGAATTTGTCATCTTCTCCAGGAGTCAGATTGTTCCCCTTTGCCATGACACCCCAGGTCCTGTTTGGCGTGACTTGGAGCTACGTGGTGGTGAGGTGACGTGTGCCCACAGGGGTGCTACATGATGGGCCAGCAGCTCGGGTTTTTTTTTAAATGCATCTTTTCCTTTCCAGATCCTGCTCCAGGAAGCAATGGCCAGACCCTGAGCTCTTGGAAAGCAGGAACTCTAAACTGTCTCCTGCTAAAAGTTAGAATGAGCGTGAGTTAGAAGATGGGATGTGGCAGCAGAGGGTTGGGTATGGTTCCACCTAAGACTTTTAACTGATCACGGGGAAATGACAACCAGAAAATGCATGCCAGGGGGAAAAAAAACCAACTACAGGCATTTCCTGTGCTTCTTAAGAAATCTTCTTAGAAATGAGGTCACCACTAAAAAAATAGCTTAACCTAAAAGTTCTCTCTTGACAATGGACTGACGGTGCCCGCCAAAGCAAAGAAGCAAACTATACTAGGTCACGTCCAAAGGCATACAGACAGCAACTGCGTGATCAGATCATAGGGAGAGAGATTTCGGGTGCGCTCAGAAGTCTATCTAGGTGCTGGAGAGATAGGACAGCGGGTAGGGTGTAAGCCTGGCACGCGGCTGACTGGAGTTCAACCCCCAGAACCTCATATGGTCCCCAGAGCACCCGCCAGGAATAATCCTTGAGCAGAGAGCCAGGAGTAAGCCCTACGGACCGCTGGATGTCTATCTGAAAGATGCATATTTGAAAGTGGGGGGGGGGGGTGCTGAAACTGTAGACAAAACAATGAGAACTGACTATGAGCCAAATATGCCATAAGATGGATGCTAGCGCTATGAAAACTCCTGTGTTCAAAAATCACATCCACAACTATAAATAGACGTATATCATAGCAAGTGTGCTCTGATGAGAATGCATCCTTCTTTAATGCACGATAATGCATTGTTAAATTGAGCTTTGGTGATCTCATCTTGCTTACTTTTCAGTCTGGACTAGATCTTAACACATTCGTTTTAGAATTCTTTGCGAAAGTTCGTGCCAAACACTTTCACCAACTGTGCGCATTTGTCCAGAATCATACTTGTGGGGAAAAAAAAATAAGTGTGCTGAGTTATTTTAATGAAGCTCTCAAAAATTCCTGCATTTGGGAGGCAGGACAAAAGGCTTCCCTGGTCTATTTGTTTTGTAAACAGATGCTTTGGCTTTTTTCCTAGAAGGGTTAGCTAGCTTTCTAGTGAAATAGCTTTCCAGTAGAAAAATAGCTTTCTACAGGAAACAACAACAAAAAAATTGGACAGTCCCAGAATTTTTCTAAGAAGCAAAACACAAATCATCTTTTAATTAGTGGCCTAGTAAAAGGCATCACTGCAGTCCAAACTCGTATGCTTAAAACTGTACTTTTTTAGTACAGTTTTTTAGTAAATAAGGATTGTTTGCAACGGTTTGCAACCTAACCCGGCTCTCTCGCTTTGGTGCCACTGCCAGCGGCCATCCAGCTATCCCAGCGGAGTCAGGCTGCTGCCACCAGGCTGTTTGGCCCACCATGGCAAAATATTTCCTGGATGGCCCTCTGCGGATCTGGGCCCCCAGCCTATAGCTGGGGGAAGGGAGGGGGATGTAATTTTGCAGACAGGCAGCCCTGCACTGTTATCCTAACCAAAGCTGCTTACCCCTCTGGTTTCAGTTTCCTGCCTTCTCACTGGGAAAGAGACCAGCGGCCCAGCAAACCATGCTTTGATTTTCATGCACAGCATGAAGTCAATGAACCCATTGATTTTATGCAAGGATTATTGTGACACGCCTGCAGGCGGAACCAAGTAGCTCTGCTTTTTCTATGCTTTTTTCCAGAAGGTCTCACACACACACACACACACACACACACACACACACACACACACACACACACACACACACACGGCATGAGGGCATGCCTCAGATAGGAACCCAGTGGCTCTGCTTTTTCTATCCTTTTCCCCAGAAGGTCATTTCTGTTCTGTGAGGCAACTTCAGGAGGCGTAAGTGAGGACTGTCCCGTGCACGGACACACGTACTTGTGCCTTGCTGCTGGGCCTGCCCGGTCAGTGTGACAGCTGCCGTCAACAGGAAAAGGGTCAGGTTGGTAGAGAACCATTAAAAAGTCCCAGACAGGGTGAACTACAGCCTGTTCCCCCCACCCCACCTGATTTTCTTTCCCTTCTTTTGGATTTAACCTTAAAGTGAAAGTCATCCTAAAACAGATAACCAAGCTCTTTCTTAGGATCCATTCGTTCTGTTATGTTCTGGCAGATTCCACAGTATTAGCAGCAGATGCAGCTCCAGAGAAAGGCCATAAAGAAGCGCCTGGAAGCAATGATCTGCCAAGAAGTCGGGTGAAGGGTGCAGGAGTCACCCACTTCCAAGGGGCTACGTCTATAGCAAGGAGGGAGGGGGACTCCCAAGCAGTGCTCAGGGGATTGGGGAGCCACCCACCTCAGCAACCCTCCGCCAACTGGGCTGGTGACTCCATGCGAGGGTCCAAGAACGTGGTGCTTCTTGGGCCTTCCGGTGCCAGGGACACCCAGGGTCACAGCCAGCTATGCTCTGGGGTCCGGGGATGCTGGGGCGTGCACCCAAACCCCTAAAAAATCTCCCTGGCCCGTTTGCAGTCTGGTTTGGGGGCCACACCCGGCTGTGCTCAGGGCTGCCTCTGGGCTCTCTGCTCACTCCTGAGGGAGCTCGGGGGACCAATATAGGGTTTCGGGGATCAAACCCGGGCCGGTCGGCCCTGTGCAAGGCGAACGCCCTCTGCTCTGTGCTACTGCTCTCCCCCAACTCCTGTTGGCAGTTCTTCCTGTTCTTTCTAGCCACGAGAGAGCTGGGAGCGACCTGCAGAGTCAGCTTGAAGCCCGTTAGCACGAAGGTCACAGACAGTTGCCACAACCACGTGTCCAAGATCGAGACGCCAATGCAAAGGGTTGCCGCCTTCAGCGGTGAGGTCTCGCTGGGTGAGATGGCGATTAGGCAGCCCCGTCAACTAGCTGGAGGACACAGGAGCCGGGGAGCAAGTGAAGCCACGCCAAGACAAAGCCCATCTCCGTCTCCACTCCAGCGAGCAAAGGTGCAAAGGAAAGGGCCCCGGAGACTGGGCGAGGATGGGCACGTTCGTGCCGGGGGGGATAGGAGATGTGCAAGGAGTTAACGGCAGCAGCACTGCCCAGGCTGACCACTGTGAGTTTCCCCGGAGAAGTGGGGGGGCACGCATGTCACAAAGCATAGCATCAACTATCTGCCGGAGTCTATACAAAAAGGACATTGCTCCATCATGCAAATGACAGAAAGGACAGAGAAAAAGCAATGTAGGATTCTTAGTGCCTGATGGAATTGGGTGTGCCTCAGGGGCACTGTTGTGGGAGTAGCTCAATAAACCTCTGGGGCTGGAGCAATAGCACAGCGGGTAGGGCGTTTGCCTTGCATGGGGCCGACCCGGGTTCAATTCCCAGCATCCCATATGGTCCCCCAAGCACCGCCAGGAGTGATTGCTGAGTACAGAGCCAGGAGTAACCCCTGTGCATTGCTGGGCATGACCCAAAAAGAAAAAAAATAAATAAATAAATAAAAAATAAACCTCAGCTCCCTGCAGGAAGAGCAAGGAGAACCCAATGTTATCCCACAGACCCGCAACACAATGAAACCTCCTCAGCAGTGCCTGGCAGGAGTTCCTCCCTCCCTCCCTCGCTCCCTCCCTCCCTCCCTCCCTCCCTCCCTCCCACTGGGGCTATTTCTGGCAGTGGGGTCCCTGGGATAACTGGAAAGAAGGCCTGGGATAACTGGAAAGAAGGGATTATCCGGCTAAGAGAAGCTTCTTGGTCCTGGGCAGAAAGGCAGGCTCAGAGAGGCCAGGACGTCTCACGCACCCCCGCCTTCCTGGTCTGCACCCCCACCAGAAATATCACTAAATAGTAAATAAATAAGCGTATCCAAAAAAACGCTCCCTGGGGCTGGAGCGATAGCACAGCGGGTAGGGTGGTTGCCTTGCACGCAGCCAACATGGCTGACTTGGGTTCGATTCCCAGCATCCCAGATGGTCCCCTGAGCACCACCAGGAGTAATTCTTGAGTGCACGAGACAGGAGTAACCCCTGAGCATCGCCTGGTGTGACCCAAAAAGCAAAAAATAAATAAATAAAAAATAAACCTCTGACCCACAGAATTACAAAAAAAAAAAAACCACTTCAGTTGTAGACTTCCACATTTTGGTGCTTGGGTTTCAGTTATACAATGATCGAATACCCATCCCTCCACCAGTGCCCATTCTCGTTGTAGTCAGAGGATACTCCAACTTGCTACTTGGATTGGATATCACTCCCTGTAGTGCTTGAGGGAGCATGTGGCCATAAGACAGCCACTTCAGTCCTTCGAATCATCTTCTTAGCCTCAGAATGCTGAATTTCTAAAACTTGCTCAAGAGCCACATGCAAAATAAGAAAAAAATATTCACTGAAAAAAAAAAAAAACGCTCCAGGCCCAAAGACATCGGCCACTTTGGACCGGAGAAGTTATGGTACACAATGCATGCAGGGGACATGGCGGAAGTTCCTGTTGCCTTAGCACAATAAATCGTGGCTGGAGTTTCAAAGTCTACTGTCCACCCCCCCCCGCCCCACCCCCCCCCACCCCAATCTCTCCAGTGTCAGGGCTTGAACCCAGAACCTTGAACGTACAAGGCATGTGCTTTGCAACTGAGCCTGGGAACGAGCCATGGACTTTGGTGACCCATCGCCGTTTGACCTGTCATTGAGTCTGATGGTTTCCTTTCTTGCAGTGATCTTTACCTCTGTTGTTTTGTTTTGTTTTGTTTTTCCCAAAACTTCAACCTCATGATGCCCGGGGATTGCCAAGCCAGAGACGCCAACTCGGTGAGCTAACTGGTTGCTAACTGGTTTCTGTGCTGAAGCCTGGGGCCTCAGGCTTCCTCTGAACTCCGCTGGGGAGAACCGGGTAACAGAACCATCTCCAGGAACAAACCAGCACAGAACGCCCTGTGGCAGGCTCCAAATCATGGGGAGGAAAAATACAAAACAAGGGGCCTGAGCAATAGTCCAGCGGGGAGGGCGTTTGCCTTGCATGCGGCCGACCCTGGTTGATCCCCAGCATCCCATATGGTCCCCCAAGCACCACCAGGGGCTGATTCCTGAGTGCAGGAGTAACCCCTGACTCGGTGTGACCCAAAAAGCAAAAAAATAAATAAATACATAAATAAAACATCCAAACCCAAACCATTCTCTCGGAGGACCCATGACGCAAAGCCTTCTCTCCAGAAAGACCGAGAGAAGTGAGGGAGAAGGACCAAGCGCAGCCTGGATTTGCGTGGAGGGCCTGGAGTTCCATCGGATCCGGTCTCTCTGCCTCTCAACACCCCAGTGCTAAAGCTTTATCCTCCAGATCCTTCCAACATCACTGACTGCTTTAATTCTCCACTGGAATTGTGCTGTGCTTCAGATGGGCTCTCTCCTTAGTGCTCAGAGTTTGCAAGGGGGTTGGCTAAAAGGCTGGTCCCTCTCGGGGGCCAAAACAGGGGGCTGCAGAACTAAATATGAAGTGCCACACACATAAGTGAGAAAAATAAAGACCCAGAAGGGGGCCTGGAGCCATAGCACAGCGGGTAGGGCGTTTGCCTTGCACGCGGCCGACCCAGGTTTGATTCCCAGCATCCCCTATGATCCCCCGAGCGCCGCCAGGAGTAATGTCTGAGTGCATGAGCCTGGATAACCCCTGTGCCTCGCCGGATGTGACCTAAAAAGCCAAAAATTGAAAAACTAAAAAAAAAAAAAAAAAGACCCAGGGGGGACCAGAGAGGTAAGTACAGCGGATAGGAATCTGCTTGCCTCACATGTGACTGACCTGGGTTCGATCCCCAGCATCCCCTATGGTCCCCTGCGCCCCGCTAGGAGTGATCACTGAGTGCAGAGCCAGGAGTAGCCCTGAGCACTGCTGGCTATGGCACAAAAAAAAGGAAATAGACAAAGGCCCAGAAAAGCCAAGCCATGGAACGTGAGGAAGGAATCCTTCTCCTACCCCCACCCCACCTGAGTTTCACACGGGTCACTTCAGTTCAGCCTGACCTGACTTCCTGGTGCAAAAGAAAACGTTTCCTGCAGCTTATCAGCCGGCCCGAGGTCTGTGGCCCCCAAGAAATGGAGCGGGCGTGCCTCAGACACGCTGAAGCGTGACCCAGAGCCGGGCTAGGCGTTCCCCTTGGGGGACCCCAGTGGAGACTTACAGGCCATGGTGTGGTAGATGCTGGGCCAGTACTGCCCGCTGTCCCTCTTCAGCCACACGCGGATGGTTCTGGGGAGGAGAGAAAACGAGAGAGAGAGAGAGGTCTTCAGAAACTGTCTCTGCTTGGGGGCTGGGGCCATAGCGCAGCGGGGAGGAGGGCCGTCTGCCTTGCACGCGGCCGACCCGGGTTCGATTCCCAGCATCCCATAGGGTCCCCCGAGCATGGCCAGGAACGATTCCTGAGTGCAGAGAGTAACCCGAGCACAGCCGGGTGTGACCACCCCCCCCCAAAAAAAAGAAGAGAAACTGTCTCCCTTCACGCCCCGGGAACACTCTATTTTCTATAACACACTCAGGGAAATCTGCGAGCTTGGAACTGCGGGTCCCGTACAAGGGGCTGGCAATGTGGTGGTCTGAGGATCCCTATGAGGGAGGTGAGGAGGGCGGCGGCAAGGGACATGCCTGGGGACCCGGGGGCCTTGTTCACCCCCAATGGAGCCCCCACCTCTGCCCATCCACACTGAGGCCCGCTGGGGGCGAGGGGGCGGGAGGTGTTGGTGGGTGTTGCTGTTGGTCGTTTCCTACCAGCTCCTTGGCTCTCTCCTTGCATCGGCACCCACAGAAAGGTGGGGAAATCCTGGGCCCGGGCAGGCAGGGGGACAAAGGAGCAAAATAGCCCCAGCTTCAGCTGGGGGTTGACCGCTGCAGGAGGAGGAGCAGTGAGCAGGGAGCCACGAAGAAAACACCTCCTCCTGGGAGCCCCCCCAGGACACACACTGTCCGCAGCCCCGCAGCGGTCCCTGCTGCCGGCTGGCACGTGAGGTTCTGTGTGTACGGACCTCGCCGCCTCTCATGCCCAGACACGCTCCCGCTGCTCTGCCCCACCTCTGGCTAAAGCACACTCAGACTAGGGGCCAGGGGATGATAGTCCAGCAGGGAGGGCGTTGGCCTTGCACGCGGCCGACCCGGGTTCGATCCCAGCATCCCATATGGTCCCCCGAGCACCGCCAGGTGTGATTCCCGAGTTCAGAGCCAGGAGGAACCCTGGAGCATTGCCAGGTGTGACCCCAAAAAGCCAAAAACAAAATAAAACCAAACAGAACTCCACATCCAGGACTCGACGTTGACGAGACGGATTTTCCTTCTGTTCAAAGGGCAAGACAAGGGTGGGAGCAGGCTGTGAAGACAAAAATCAGAACAGGGCCGACGGGATGGTATCGCCAGGGTAGGGCGTCTGCCTTGCATGCAGCTGACCCGGGTTCAATCCCTGGCATCCCATATGCGTACCCTCCCAAGTACCGCCAGGCGCTCCTGAGTGCAGAGTCAGGAATCATGCCCAAGTATCGCTGGGCGTGCCCTTGACTCCACCCCTGCATAAAACAGAACAGTGGCACCTCTCAGAACTTGCCCGCCTACAGAGATCCAAGTATATGATTGGTTCTTGATTTTTCAAAACACTAGATACTGAGCTTCAGTCCCCCGAAGCACTGAGAGATCCCGGCAGCACGGTGGGGGCTCCTAACTTTGTCTGGGAACCGGATGTGTGTGTGTGTGCCTGGGGTAGCCGCAGCCACTGTCCGGTGTGCCCTGTCTCCTGGACACTGCCCAGAGGGGGCCATAGCCAAGTGGCGACAGGAGCCTTCTCTGCGCCCCAGGCGGGATCACAACTGGCTAAGGCAGAAACAGGCATCTGACTCCAGCTGGGTCAACTCGTTTCTTCCCTGGGAAGGAGAGAGAGAGAGGATGAGGGAGAGAGAGACAGAGACAGGGACAGGGACAGAGACACAGAGAGATACAGAGAGACACAGAGAAAGACAGAGAAAGACAGAGATGAGAGACAGAGAAGAGAAGAGACAGAGAGAGGAGAGACAGAGAGAGAAAAGAGACAGAGCGAGAAGAGGAGAGACAGAGACAGAGAGAAAGAGACAGAGAAGAGAGACAGAGAGAGAGAAGTGAGAGGAGAAACACAAAGACACATCAGTGGGGGGAGGGGGATGGAGTGGCTAGTTCTGGCCAGAGTTTGCAATTTAAATTCGAGAATTTTTGTCTTAAAAAAAAATGAAGGGGCTGGAGCAATAGATAGCACAGCGGGCAGGGCATTTGCCTTGCACATGGCTGACTTGGGTCCGATTCCCAGCATCCCATATGGTCCCCTGAGCACCGCCAGGAGTAATTCCTGAGTGCAGAGCCAGAAGTAGCCCCTGGGCATCGCCAGGTGTGACCCTAAAAGCAAAAAATAAAAAAAAAAAACGAAGAAAGAAGAAATGTAAAGAAGGTGGTGATGAAGAGAAGAGAAGCAGGAAGAAGCCACAGAGAGGCTCCGGCTCCGTGTGGCCTCCCCACCCCCAGAGAACCAAGCCTGCCCACTTCCTCCTGGGTAATCAAACCCTCTGAGCCAGGGCACTCTCAGCAGGAGGCTCCAAGAATCCCAAACATTCTCCTTGTCCAGGCACCCTTCAATAAGCTCCAACCTGCCCAGGCTCACGCAGGGAGGCGGATCAGAAAGATCTGGTATTCTTCCGCGTTTGTTTTGGGGCCACACCCAGGGGTGCTCAGGGCCTAGTCTGGGCTCTGTGCTCAGGGTTGACTGGGAGGGTGGGAGGGCCCTGCAGGGCTGCAGGCAAGGACCACGAGCGCCTCCCCTCACCTCTGCCCTCTCCCAGGCCCCCAGCACAAGACGGGCTTGCAGGCAGCTGTCTTGTGAGCAAGGAATGTTCTAGACAAACTTCACGTAACAAGTCTAAGAGGGAAACAGGAGGTCACACTAGTGTGTGCATCAGGAGATCTGCAATTTTTTTCCAGTTCGTAAATCGACATCCTAAAAATGGAATCTGCCAGGAGGTAACGGTTAAGCCAGATGGTTCTTAATGGGGGGGTTTCTGGTCCTAATGCCCGAGAACTTGGTTTTCTTTGATAAACGTTGGAGTTTAAAATGTTTCTCACGATCACAGATCTTTCTAGTCTGGAACCAGGCACGTGGAGCCCTGAGGAATACGGAACTGACGAAAGTCAGCGCTCACGGCCTCGTGTGGAGAGAAAAGCCCCATCCGGAAGTGATGGAGGCCGCACGATGCCCATTGCCAACACGATCGGACAGAACCTCGAGATCCGAGCCCCTGGGTTCAGGGAAGCGGAAGGAAGACGCCTCCAGAGGCGCCACTGCCAGGGCAGGCCAGCAAAAGAAGGCACCACTGGGAAGTCTAGAAATGATCAGTTTCCCCCAGAAATAACTCCCGCGGTGGGAGAGGAAGTAGACATGGGAGAGTCGGCTGTGGGTGATGAGTTTCACAGACACCACAGGACAGCTGTAGGAAAGGGAGGGGAGGGGGGATGAGAGGAAGAGAAGGGATGAGGGAGAGAGAGGGAGAGAGGGAGAGAGGGAGAGAGAGAGAGAGAGGGAGAGAGAGAGGGAGAGAGAGAGAGAGAGATGAAGCAGTTGTAGCACTTCTGTGGGTCCTAGGTCACTGAGATTGTTAAACACATGTTCACCATTATAAACCGGCCAGAAATATGAACCCAAGTAGACTATAGACCAAACATGATTGCCACTCAATGCCTCTTTTGCAAACCACAGCACCCAAAAGGAGAGAGAGAGAACAAAAGGGAATGCCCTGCCACAGAGGCAGGGTGGGGATGGGGGGATGGGGAAGTGGGAGGGATACTGGGATCCGTGGTGGTGGGAAATGGGCACTGGTGGAGGGATGGGTATTTGATCATTGTATAATTAAAACCCAAGCACAAAAATGTGTAAGTCTACAACTGCACCTCTTGGTTTGTCACTAATAAAAATAAAAAAAAAAGAAATACGAACCCAACTAGACACCTGATACCATCAAAATCATCAAAATTCTGGTTCTTTGGGTATGAGACTGATCTCGAAGGTTCTGCTGACCTCGTAGGGCCTTGTAGGGCCTGGCCTCTGATCTCAGCCACCAGGCCCACAGCAGCCTCTTCCCGGCCGCCCCATGGGCCCGATGTCTGGTCACTGGCTCTGTCCCGGCAGGAGGAGCCTAAACCGCCCCGGCCGACGTGCTCTATGTGGTGACTGACACCCCACTTCCACCCTGCATCCCCGTGAGCCATCTGACATGCCCCAAACACGGCCCAGCCCCACCTCTGCCCAGGTGGCAGCTTCTCTGGGCACTTGGCGGCAGGGCCACCACCGCAGCATGATGTCTCTTGGTGAGGACAAGATACACACACGTTCATAAAGATGATGGAGGGTCCGGAGTGACAGCACAGCGGGGAGAGTGTTTGCCTTGCACGCGGCCGTCCCGGTTCAATCCCCGGCATCCCATAGGGTCCCCCGAGCACCACCACCAGGAGTAACTCCTGAGTGCAGAGCCAGGAGGAACCCGAGCATCGCTGGGTGTGACCCAAAAAGTAAAAAGAAAAAAAAACCTAATAAAACAAAATAGAGATGACAATGGAATCCTGCTACTGGCCGCGACCTGGAGGGAACCGGAAGAGAACAACGCGCTGGGTGACATCGGACAGAGAGAGAAGGACACGCACGGAATAACCTCGCTGATCTTGAGAATAATTGGATGAGGAAATGTGACGGAGCAAAGCAGGGGGTGCCATGATCCCCCCATCCATCCCTGAGGATGGGAAAGGGACCCAGGCGGCCGTCCATCCCAGCCAGACCCAACAGCACTGACAACAGGGGACCCCAAGGACAGCCAGTAAACTTTCAGATGTGCCTGGCAGGGTGGCAGGCAAGGAGCGAGGGGGTGGGGAAGGGGTGGGGTGGGAATGGGAGTGGGCGGGGGGGGGGGCACCAGGAAGAAACTGGGGAACTGGGTGGGGGAAGCTGACACCGGTGATGGGATTGGTGCTAGAACAATCCTAGAACATTGTCTGTCTAAAAGTCAACTATCAATAACTTCGTAAATTATGGTTATTAGATTTTTCAAAAGCTTAATTACAATGTTTGTAAAGGTCCTTAGAGGGACCGAAGAAATGGTACAGTGGGTAAGACAAATGACTGCCACAGGGCCGGTCCAGATTCGATCCCTGGTACCCCCTGTGAAGGACAGAGAGGGTATAGGGAGTCTTCCTAGGGGTGA